GAGAGAGAGAGAGAGAGAGAGAGAGAGAGAGAGAGAGAGAGAGAGAGAGAGAGAGAGAGAGAGAGAGAGAGAGAGAGAGAGAGAGAGGGGTGTATATGACTGTAAATAGTTACTGTACAACAACTGCGCGTGTGTGCGTGCATATAGGTGTGTGTGTGTGTGTGTGTGTGTGAGAGAGAGAGAGAGAGTTTCCACAACCTTGGTGAACTCATTTATTTTGAGAGGGGGGATAGAGAGGGGGAGAGAGAGAGAGAGAGAGAGAGAGAGAGAGAGAGAGAGAGAGAGAGAGAGAGAGAGACAGACAGACAGATAGATAGACAGAAAGGTGAAATGATTTCAACAAACAAAAGAAAAGCAACAAAAAAACCCACCAGGATGAGAGCTAATTGACCAGAAATGGATTACGACTGCTGAGCAAAAAAACAAAAACAAAAAACAACATTTTGAATAACAATCTAAAAGTCACATACAGCCGGAAAACAGCGAGACGACTGAGTCTATACAGTGACAGTAAATCAGCAAACATCAAGGAAAGATACAAGCAATTTTCCAAGCCTCTTCAGACACATACAATCGTATTCAGTTCATTGAAATTGAGGTTTAACCCCCCCTATCGACAATATTAAGTTATTTAAGAGGTGGACTTCCGAGTTTACCGCCCATCTCCGAAAGAACCGAGCCAATAAGGCACTTCGTGTGAAGTGTCTTTCCCAATAAGATGCAACGGCAGATCGAGCTGAGGCTCAAACCACCGAACTCGCAAACCCAAGATTACAGGTCTGGTAGCCTAACCACTAGGCTACAGACCACACCTTCTCGTCTCGTAAATATGGAAGGTGCCACATACAAAACATGATATAGATCTACCTTGTCTTACAGGACAGCCCCCCCCCCCCCACCAATAATAGTAATGATAATTGATAATCGGTCCAGACACAACAAATAAATGTTTCTCCCCAATCAAACTACGACATCGACCTACAAGACGAGCTACTCGTGCTCTTATACGAAAGCAGCGACCAAAAAGGCTGTTACTCCGTGGGGCCAACAAAACTGAGAACTTGTAACCCTGGAAATCGTGGAAGTGTCTAAACAAACCTTCCCTCACAAAGCGCGGTGTCGGCA